GGTCTATTGGGCTTGGTGGGAAGGTTGCTTTGGAATTTTTCGTGGCACAGGTTACCTTGGCTCCTGATAATTCCTGTCTTACTTGTGCTGGGTCTGGGCGCCAGAGTGCCATTCTTTTTCCTGTACACATGGGCACATCTCTTGCCTGAATACATTCATCTCAGGCATAGGCATCTTCAATTTTCCTATTGGTGTGTATTAATAATGCAGAACAGTGAGAAATATTTTGATTATTTTCATCCCTGTCAACCTTCCTTTCCTTTCTTCTCTCCTTCCTGACCTCCTTCTGTTTTTAAAAGTCTACCTTCTAGTTTCCTGACATCTCTCTTTTATTTTTTATTTACTTTTAGATTGTTTATATAAAGCATGTGGTTTTTAACTGAGTCCAGTTTATTTTGCTTAACAGAATGATCTCCAATTCCATCTGTTTTCCTGCAGATAACATGATTTCGTTCTTCTTTATGGCTAAATAGTACTCTGTTTACCACATTTTTCTTTATTCATTCATCTGTTGATGGACACCTAAGCTGTTTCCACAGCATAGTTACTGTGAATTGTGCTGCTGTCAACATGAGTATGAACATACTTCTGTATTAAAACACCTTCCCTTCTGATGAGAACTGTGTGCCCTTGATTCAGGAGACCCCTCCAATAGCCTGCAGAAATGGCCTTCACCTCCGCCTTCTCAATTTCTCCTAGCGGCCCTGTCCCTAGCTGGCCTGCATGGGCCCCAAGATGGTGGGAGGAGCCCATGTGACCTCCTAACCTTCTGTTTTTGTTGAGTTGTCATTGTTTTGGGCTTTTAAACTCTCATGTCTGCCAGAGCCCAAATTTGAAATTACATTTTCTCTTGTAAGACCCGCTAGAACTCATGAATACGGTGCTTTGGAGGCTCCAAGGTTGCTAGAGACCCCATGAGAGGGGCATCCTTCTCTGCCATTTTGCACATGAGGCCACTGACGCTCAGAGAGCCAAGTAACCTATCCAAGCGCACACAGCACTTTTTTTTTTCAGTCCCAGGCTTATCTGAGCCCCAACCTGTATGCCCTTGATGGCCACAGCATACGTTACCATTCCTGGGTCCCCATCTCTCTCTTTTCCTCCTCCCCCTTTCTCCCCTCTCACATGGGTGGCGTAGAAAGCTCTGGGGCTCTGGAGCTGTACTGGCCTGCACTCGATGCCAGGGTCTTCTCTAGGTGCTCATGAAAATTGAATGGGATTTTTTTAAATGGCCGCAATGCCTCTGTCCCAGTGGCCAACATGCAGTAGGCCGTGAGTAACTCTCAGGGTCTCCAGGACTCCTCTCTCCCCACCTCTTCCTCTTCCCCGCCACTCCCCAGCTCCACTCACATGAACCTGAGCTCAGACTCCCGTCTGACCAAGACTTCCCGGAGGCGCTGGATCTTCGCCATTTCCAGCTCGATCTCTTCTGGCATCATGGTTGTCTCTGCCATGGAGATGATGTCCAGCTGATCTGTGCAGGGACAGACACAGGTGTCAGGACCCTCGGGTCGCAGGAGTTTCCAAGACTCCCCGTGGGATACACCCTGCCATTGTTCATGGGAACAGCCTTGACCCGGGGACCAGCACACAAGGCTTGAACTTGCAGTACTCCTGCCTCAGCCTCCCAGAGCACTGGGATTACAGGTATATACCCCACCACGCCAAGCAGATGGGTCTTTGAAGAGGTAATTAGAGTTAAATGAGATATTGCTCGCCTGTAATCTCCATATTGTGGGAGGCTGATGCTGGAGGATTAAAAGTTCTGGCCTAGTTTGGGTGATTTAACAAAACCCTGTCTCTAAAGAAAAACAAAATTCTGGGACTGTAGCTCAGCACACAGGCTCATGATCAGGTAGGCTTCTCTCTGGGGATGCAAGGTTGGTTCAACATACACAAATCAATAAATGTAATACATTATATAAACAGAAACAAAAACAAGACAAAATTACATGATTATCTCAATAGATGCAGAAAAAAAAAACCCTTGACAAAATTCAACACTTATTCATGATAAAACCCCTGAAGAAAACAGGTATAGAAGTACCTTATTTCAATCTGATAAAAGCCACTTATGACAAATTTACTTAATATGATGCCAACATCATATTAGATGTAGAAAAACTGAACACCTTCCCTCTACAATCAGGAACAAGACAAGAATGTTCACTGTCACCCCCTCATGTTCACCATAGTACTTGGAACAGGGATTTAGCTCAGTGACACCTCACTTGCCTGGCAAGCACAAGGTCCTGAGTTTGGTTCCAGGTACAGGAAAAAAAATAGTAATCAAAAACATTAGCCAGCAGTTGGGCAAGAAAAAGAAAGAAGTAATGCCGGGCATGGTGGCGCATGCCTATAATCCCAGTACTTGGGAGGCTGAGGCAGGAGGATTGCTGTGAGTTCGAGACTAGCCTGGGCTACACATTGAGTTCCAGGTCAGTCTCAACTACACAGTGAAACTCCGTCTCAAAAAACCAAAAAAAAAAAAAACCAAAAA